GCTGTTAGAACAACACTTATTAAAAAAAATGCACTTGGCATCGATTCAAATGTATGGTTGTATATAAAATTGTATAATGGTAAAAATCCACCTTTTACGGAATTTTCCATAAGAAATTTCACTGCATTCATAGTACCTGGAATAATGTAAAAATTAAAAATCGGTGTTAAAGTCAAAATATTGTTAACTCTAAACACGTCTTATCAATTCCAGATAATCACCCAGTTCATCGGATCCAACACATTTTGAAGCTATAGAACTTGTTAATACCATAGCTGCACCTCGGAAGATTTCTAATGGTGGCACTGTAAAATTTGAAAATAGTATTTTATTATTTAAACAAGTCATTAGTTATTACACCGTTATAGTAATAGTTACCTAAAAAACAGTTGCCATGATTCAGAAACTAAAAAGAAGGCGACTGCAGCTAAAAAATCAAATACAGAAGCAATTGTAGCAATTAACGCATCGTTCATTCGAAACTTGTAGCTTAAAATACCTAATGAAAATAATGTACCTAGAAAAACAATACATTTTTTAAAATAAGACGATAATTAATGTGTAACCTTAAAAAAAAAAAAATTAAATAATGAAGCAAAGACAATGATGATAATTAAATACTTGATAATTAAAGATAGAAATTTTTTAATTTTTATAGATAATAATTATTAGTAAGTATTGAATAGAAATATCAACAATAAAAAGACGATTTTTATACAAATTGAATAATATGTTTTCGTTATTATATTATAGTTTTATGGTAGTTATTAGATTTACAGTTATTAATTATCTAAATATTATTTATTTTACTGGATCTTACCTGTTAATATAACAGACAGCTGGTAAGTATTAAAAATACTGAAGTCTACTTCATTCCATTGAAATTTATACCTCAAATATAGATATAATACTGACATTTCTCCTATAAATATAATTAATTTGTATAGGTAGTTAAATTTATTTACATAAGTCACTTATATTTTCAAAATTTATTAAAACAAGTTTTGCATAACCAAGTTTAAAATTTGTGAACATTCGATGTATTTTTAGTCAAAAAATAAAAACACAATCGATTTATTAAGTAATGGTTTTGTGAAAAAATTCCATTTTTTTTTTATCCAATATTTTAAAAAGTATTAGAAATGGTTAACTGCGTAGTTAAAAAAAAAAAATAACTTTTTAGTAAATTACCTATTTTCATGATATAATTAATAGGTAAAAATTATAAATATAATTTCAAATTATAAGTATTTTTATGTAATCTATGTTAGTGAGAAATGAGAATGTATAAGATAACAAAATAATAATATTAATTATTATAATAGCAAATTCTAGTTTGTGCCTCTAGACTCTAGAGTCTAGACTATTTCACCGATGATGGTTCATACCAAAATTTAAAATATTTTGATTATAGTATTATATTAAATAAATGTTCAGTTTCAATATGATCTACTTAATTATACAAGAAACCTTTTACTACATTTTCAAGCTTAAACTATATGCATTAATCATTTTATACATTTTTAACTACAAAAAAAAAAAAAAAATCCCCATTTTCATGATTTTATAAAATTTTGAATTTCCAATGTTTGTAAATAAATATCACGTTTTGGTACCTTTCATAGTTTTTGATACGTATAAAAAAAGTTAGTGTTGGCCAACGATAAATTTTCAATTATAATATTAGTTTTTATTTTTCCGATATCGTAATGCAATTTCAAAAAATATTGATATCGATGTGGATTTGGGTATATTAATAATAATATGAAAATCAATCACTAATTATTATGATATGTATTAACTTAAAAGTGTGTAAAATTAAAAATCTAAATATAGAAAATGAGGTATGGAAATAATTGAAATATGTATTTTTCAGTATACCTACGAATTTTCTTCTTCAAGCAGTTCTATCAATGTTTCTTTAAACTTAAAATATATCACAATATTCCATAGTTTATTATTTAGTAGATAAAAGTAATAAAAGTGTATATATAAATATAAATCCGCCAATTTTGTTCGTATTCTAATATCATGATATTCTTAGTAATTGTTTTTAGATATCAAAATCGAAATTATTAAGAAAATACTATAAAATCGTTGGCCAACACTAGAAAAAATATAAAGTGCTTTATATAAAATTTTTAAACTTATTCACTAAGCAGAAACAAATAATTCATAGATATTCGTAGATAATTTTTTTTTTAAATTAAACAACGAGTATATTATGCAGATAATGGTAATATTGCTAATAGGTAATATAAATAATTATTTTACGCAAAAGTATTATGTTGTGAAGGTTTGATCCTTAAAAAAATAATCATAAAAAATTGGTCATGTGGCGTTGTGGCAGTCAACATGCTAATTTAGTAAAATAAATTACATTAATAACAATATTATGAAATATACATAGTGATGTAGGCTGACAGACCGTATACGTTCAGAATTGTAATTCGTGTACAATGATTTAATTGACATATCATTGAATTCAAATTAAACACACTCATAGAAGTGACCCACTTAAATCTTACTGACTCAGTGGCGGCTCGTGTATATGTGCACAAGTGCACGTGAACTACCTACCCAAACTCAAGAAAAATTGAAAACATAAATCACAATCATACAACTAAATACATGTAGTGTTATTAAGATTATTTTTCAAAATATAAAAATATAAATTTAGATTATTATGAAAATAATATAATATTTGGATTGGGTTATTTCAACGGCCGAACAGCCGGGCGGTTGTTCGCGACAACGGTATCGGTGTGTATTTACTATTTAGTAATATTAGTATTATAGTGGTGCAGTGTGCAGTGAGCACAAAATCACTATGCACATTTATACTGTGTAAAAATTAAAACAAGTCGATACACGCAACCCGCGTTATAATGAAATAAATTGATGTGCACATTCGTTTCTGTGCAGTGTGCACTGTGCACATAGTACATAGTACATAAGCATAACTGCATAACCAATTAAATTATTTTCAGTGAAGTATTTTCGACGTCGCCGCGTCGTTGCGCGTCGGCATCGGTATTATAGTTTATTTTTACTCTCATTCATCTCATTCATTTATTATATTCCGATTATCATCTGATAATGTTTGTCGATCATTGTTTATTATTGGAAAATCAAAACAACAAACGTGTTTCTGTTTTTTTATCGACGACCAATATTAATGTATAATATTATTCGATATTCGTGTATTTGTTTTCAATTTTTAAAATGAATTCAGTACATCAAGTACTGTGACTCAATTTTTCAACAACAATCTCGTTGGAGAAAAATATGGAAATAAAAAATAAAAATAGGCCTACTTCAGATTTAAATATTAACAAAATAAATGGTAATTGATAAATAACTAAAATTTGTAAACAATTATTTAATACAGTTTATAATATATATAATATTGGTTATAGTTTTTTTGGATGTGCACTACTTCATTAAAAATCCACGAGCCGCCACTGCTTACTGTAAAGTGTAAAGCATAGCAGTACTCATTTAATCACTTTTTTTTTTTTAAAGATAACTCACACATCGTTTTAGCGACTGTGAAAACGATCAAATATTTACCTTTAATCTTTGATGTTTATGAATATAAAATTGTTTATTTATTATAATAAATTATGATAAGTTTATTAAACAAGATAAGCGGAATTAATAAGAGAAAATTCGTAATGTAGTTAAATTTTATAATGATACTATTTTATATCTGCAGCGCCGGCAGAATTATAAATATTTTGATAAAATATACTTGTGATACTTCAATTACCTATAAGTTATAACTAATATATTATTTTTAAAAACTATTGAATAATTTTATACACATCAAGTTACATGAACATGGATAGCATTGTTTTCTTAAAATTTAAATGTTTTGTTACATGAAGTTCTAATTGATGTTTATTACTTTATTAGCTTTATTTTTTCTTAATATTTTGACTGGGGCGATGAGTGGGTTTGTCTTACGAATTTACGATGATTTAAATTTGCTATTTAATTTATTTTTTTTTTAATTATTACCGTTCGAAATAAAAAAAGTACTTCAAATTTTAACATCATAAAAAATGTAAAATTGTATCTAGTTGGAAATTTGTGTAATCAATGATAAAAATGTTCAGTATTTTTTTAAGTAATAGGAATAAAAATTTTTTACAAATATATTAGTATTCGATAATCAATTTTGTTTTGTTTGATGTTGTTGTTCAAAAATAACATTTTTATTCATATATAAAAACATTTAATTGTGCTTAAAAGTTGAAAAGAAATAAAAAACTATTTTTTTTTAAATACGATAAATTTGTTCTTATTGTTTTAGAATCTTATAACCAAATAACTATAAAAATATACGTTATAATTTATAGTAATATACTAATATAGTACCTACCGACGTTAAACGATGTACAACTCACCGTGTAGTGTCGAGCACGTTAGCGGCGCGCACACAATCAAGGTAAGACAGAGGACCAACTTGCCGTGACCATCACGTCGTTTGGTCATCACTAGGTAACAACGGCGGAGAACGTCCAGCGGGTTGACGGCCCGGACGACGTCTTGGGACAACGGCTGTTTGGTACCACTGTCGTGGATGAACACGAAAGTGAGGACGAGCGCGGTCAGGCCCAGGAGGATGGACACCACGTACGCGGCTACGAAACCCATGTTGTTCATTACGAATCCATAAGCGAGCATTCCCAGAATTCCGGTAACAGCTAACGTGCCGCCGACCATACCGTACTTGAACGTCCGCCACTCTTCCGTGGTCGTGTCGGCCACGTACGAGTTGATGCCGTTGAACAGCATCGCCTGGCCACCGGTCAGCGACAGCGCGGCCGCCTGCGCGGTGGCCGTCAGCGCCGGCGACACCGACCACACGACGGTGCAGTACAGCGACAGCGCGTCCGCCAACACCTGGCCGACGATCGGCAGCGCGATTAGCGGCCTACGGCGGCCGTGCCGGTCGCTCCACGTGCCCGCGGTCATGACCAGCGCTATGGGCACCAGATTTTGGACGAGCGACTTCCAGCCGATGATAGGCGCCACCACGTGCTGCGCCGCCGTCTCGTCCGGACACTTCGAGCCCACATGGCTGGTTGTCGCGCCCGTCGGGTCGCACGCCTTGTACAGCAGCAGACTGGTGCTCAGGTTCATTGAGAACACTTTCGTGACGAAGTAGAACAGCACCACCGGTTCCACGGACACGTGCAGGGCCGTCACGCCGTGCACGAACGTCATCGCGTGTAACTGCAATTAGTGCAAGGGCATAACTGCTAATATCGGTTGGTTATTGCCGTTGTTGCTGTTACACTTCACAGCGATTACCTACGCGACTAGTTTTATTGTTCGACGACGGTAGTTTTGATGATGAATATATTATAAAATATATCTTGCACGGTTATCCTGGTTTATCTCGGTGTAAGATAAGAAAACCAATTGAAATTATTTAAGTTTCAATTTTATTGTCAAGTGTCGTTATTCGTATACCATATTTCGATCGAAAATTAGAAGCTTTTTGATTTTCTATAGGTTTACTTATACTGATTGTGCGTACGATAATATTGTACAAATAGTACCTAGTTAATTTCTACTTGAGAATAAAAAACACAATAAATAATCGAGTGATCGTGATTGTAATCACATAATAATAATACTGTCCATTTTTAAATGTGTGAATTATAATATTAATGTATTTATGTATTGTATGATCAATAATCCACAGATTTTTATAATTATTCAAGAAAATATTATTTTAGCCCACCAATGTCATATTATCAAACATTATTGAACTAAGATGAACAATTCTTAAAATCATCACGTGATTCATGATGTTGTTTTGTTTACTTAATAATGCTTCTTAGCTATGACGTACAATTTTATTGTATCATTTAATAATATTATATAATATAATTATTTACAAAACAACTAATTTTAGGTCTATAAACATACCAGTCAGCAGTCTAATAATATCACTAAATCATATATTGATTATACTTATCTATTTCCTCCTTATAAACTGTTTTTTTTAAATATATCTTAATAATATGGGTAAATTTGTATATTGTGTTGTAAAAATGTATGATAATATACTCGTGTTATCTATCAGTTTATTGTATATTAGGTATACATTAAACTTTACACGAGCTTTAGCAATAAACTAATGATAAGTATCCTAATTTTTTAATTTGAGTGATTTGTTTTTTTTTTAACTTATTGATATTTTGTATTTTTAAGTGATTTTAGTTGGAATACATTATATTATATAAAAACTTTAACGTTTGTACTATGCATATATTTTATGTTGTGTTTATTACCTTTTTTTAGTAGGTTTCTTGTATACTGTATACAACTCATAGTTGAATCCTGTTTATAGTATCTGACTATTTTTTTGTTCATGGATTCCTTGTAAATTGTAAATGTATCAGTATCGAGTTTACCAAAATTAATACCTACACTTAACTTGCATTAATATTGGACAATAGTATAATTCCATATTATAGCGTTTTGGAGAAAAAAAGGAGTATCTACTAGCATAGATTAAATATTTAATCTATGCTACTATCTACACCATTCAAGTTCAAACAAAATGGAATAACTTGATTTCGAACTTGCGTGGATCTTGTATTAGTAATATAGCCAACACTTCTATTTCACGGAAGATTGCTTTATGGTTTAAGTGTAGTTGAAGTTGTCACAAGATAAAATACAACGCGTGATGCGTGTCGTCACTATTCGCACTATTTACCAGAAAATGCAAAAATGATGTCAAGTTGTGTCATTTATCATTCAAAATGTTAAGGTCGGGTGTCCTTCAAGTGGACAGTATGTTTAGGATACTAATCATGCCTACTGTCTTATCCTCATATTTTTTATTGATGATGAATTTTGGTGTATAATGGTAATTTTTTGCAAATTATCCATTTTACGAGCAACAATCATCTATCGTTAGACACACTGTGTTGTTTATAGTACATTATATTAGTGTTCCTTCAACTGGCCGGCATACCTTTAGTGCCTAATATGTATACCATATATACCTAAATGGCCTTACTAGTTACTAGTAAGCATAGGCGTAACTAGGTGGGAACTTGGGGGGCTTAAGCCCCCCCAACATAAATTTTAGCCCCCCCCGTCATAATTCCTAGTCCCACACTCCCGCCAATAATAGTAACATTTTTAAACTTAAATTTAAAATATCGTTTTATTTTTTTTAATATCTTGGAAAAATATTAATTTAAACTATATTATTGTATGTAATGATCCTGTGTAAGATGTATCATGTTGTGTAATTTTTACTACACAAATACTCCCTACTAAGAAGTTGTCAATAAACTAAAAATCGTTAAATTCTTTATAACTAAAATAATACTTAATAGTTAATAATATGTTAATATATAAATATTTAACCTCAATACCACTTGGTTTATTATTTGTTTTATAATTAAATATTAATTTACATTCACATTATATGTATAATCAATGAATGTAAGGTGTTTGGGGGGGGGTATGGAGGGCAAAGCCTCTCACTTAATTTACTTATAATAAAAATTAAGTCCCCCCTAACATTAAGGTCTAGTTACGCCTATGCTAATAAGTGGTCATGTGTTCGAATGTCGTATGTTCGAACGTCAAGTGTTCGAAAAAATTGTCTGTTTGAAAGATTTTATCTTCGAATGATCGTACATTTTAATTAATCGTAAACGAAAATAGACAAAAAAAAAAAAAAACAGTAATCGTGTTTTAATTATATTGTAATTAATTTTATCTTTATTGATTTCACGTGGTAAAACATTATAGTTATTATTGATGTTTTTTATGTTTATCATCTATCAGTACGGTTTGATACATCACTCTATAATATTTATTATACTATTAAATTATTTTTTATTTATCAACTGATAATTGTACCATTTTATTATATTTGTCGGATTGTGTTGGCATACTGTTGGTGATGATTTAAATTAAGACGATAACAGCAGCTCTATCTACAGGTTTCTTTTGAAAATTTACAACGAAATTACGAAGAACTGAACTTTATCAGCCGATTCAGCCGCTAGATTACATTGTCCAATATGTTTTTTAAATATACAAATAATGTTTTATTTCACCTAAATATAATTACTTACTGACAATATTATTGAGGGAATAATTTTTATGTAATCATATAGATAAAGATAAAAGATAATTTATTAGTATTTAGTAGAATAATATTATCTTAATGAAAATAAAACATATACTTTAATCATTACCTTAGTATTCTCCTTACTCTATACATTTTTGGTTTTTTAAACTAATATATAAATTTCTTATTAAGAAAACAAATGTAAATATTGTAATTATGTTTTTCAATAAAAAAATCCCTTAGTTTATAACTAAAGTCTATGATTTTAGCTTGATAAAATAAATAATTAACAATTTTATCTCAATATAAAAAAGTATTAAATTTTTTATTAAATATCAGTTCTATTAAAGCAATTAATGCTAAAATTTTACTAGATAGGTAAAAATTTGGATGTCTTAAAAATAATTTAAGTGGTAGTTTTTAATTTATAAGCTATTTAAATTAATATAAATTAATATTTAATTATTTCTAATAAAATTCAAATATAAACAGTTATATAAAAAGTTGATTTTGGATAATATTCTAATAAATATTTTTTTATGGTTTTTAAACTACAGCTAACTTGAAAGTAAACACCATAGTATTTTTTGTTAAAGTATAATTTTTTGCAGTATGTGTATTTAACAATCATGAAATATCTTAATAATTGTTTATGTTTATTATTTATTTAATTACTAAACTTAGTACCTATTGTAGATATATAGCCTGAAAATATTACGTACAATGTTCAATTATCAAAAATTTATGAAATTAAAGTGGTATTCTATTGACAGTCGGAGACTATGGATGATAAACCATATGATAAGCAGGTTATATGTACATTAATGCGTTAAGGTTTAATTTTTACTATTTTTTATGAATTTATTTCTGAGAATATAGAGAAAAAGAACTAATAATAAGAACAACGTAAGTAGATAAAATATTAAAGTATAAATGATAAAATATTTAATAATTATTCAAGAACGAAAAAAAATGTATTTATTCAATGTACATAAGATAGTATATGTTAACATAAATATACCAGGTAATCTTATAAAATGTAGATACCTAATAATTTATACTATGTTAATGTTAAATATTTTAAATTATAGCAATTATTTAAGTTAATAATATAGTAAGTTAATAGGTATGCGTATGATTACATAATGAAATAGTTTATCTCAAAAAACGATTTAGATAATTTGATTCTTACTTATGTAGATAAAAGTTTAAAACCAATTTAATTAGCATCAGTGATCGTGCCAACTATTTTATTTCACGAGTCAAGTATATAGATGATGATTTTAATGTTGATTGACCAAACAACTACCATAATAAAATTGTAAATTGTGAATACAATTACAAAAAAATCGATACCTTTGTAGAATATACTATTGTGCCGCCATTGATCTATGAGCAACATTGCACGGTTCATCAAATAATTTTATGTAATTAAGTAATCTGTATTGGAATAATGTAGTTTTCATTCAATATATTGTTGATTTTTTTTTTTTTTTTGACACTAATATTTAAAATTTATTTGAGTGGTTGTTATAAAATAAACACAGAATAGTTACTATAACGCAATTTTTTTACAATGTCTCTTCATATAGCATCAGGGTATTTGCATGTTAAAGTTCTATATAGTCATGCAGGACATAGTATACAATCAATAAGTTGATCAATAAATTTTAAATTGTGTTTGAATTGATTAAAGTGAAATGTTATTCTGAATGTCTACGGTTACCATTAGTTACCAATACACTTTAGCGACTATCATTTATGATTATGAATGTATTTTGATACAAATTGGGGCTCTATAAATGTTATCTGTACATTTTAACTGTTATGTTATATACAGGACTATTTTTATATAGACGTTATAACATTTATTATTATAAAATGTGTTATAGATGGATTTCAATAGTATAATTATTATAGTCATAATGTACCTATACATGAATAATATGTTTCAACTGTAGACTTTAGACAACATTAATATTATATTAAAATATCATACATTTATACATAATAATTTTACAAACGTATTTTCATTGACCATTTTTAAGTTTTATTTCATTAAATATGATAATTAATTATGTTATGGTCGTTGATAGGTGCGATTTCGGTGTCGTGATTTTTATTTTGAACATGAATGTTTTCAACAGTATTTGTTTTTTGATTTTTGCTTAAATAGTATATCAAACTGAAAAAGTACATCAATATTTTTTTAACTCATTATAATAATAATAATTTTTTTTTTTCGTATGGCGCTTATGTCCGGGAGTAGGCCCGAAGGCCTATAGTTCGGACGCCTATTTGGCAGAATTTCTAGTGGGCACCTATTGGTTTCTGCCATGCCCGGGTTGGGGGCGGCGGCTTCTCTCTTCAGACACCGTGACTGCCTGAAAAGTGATGCCGCCCGTGACCGAGATTCGAACTAGTGTCGGTGCGC